TAATCTTATTTTTTGTTAAATATTTAAAATATGTAAATTATGCTAAATTTAGGATTCACATGTACGTGGAGGACAAAATTTCGCACAGAGGACCTTTCCCCATTAAAGTGAAGGGAAGTACAAAAGTAAGTCAACTAAAATTGCGAGTGGAACGCGATTTTGAAATACCAATCAATGTGCAAAAATGGATAATTGGAAAACAATTGGCCTCCGACGATAATGCTACAATGAATGAACTAAATATTTATGACGAAGGTTCTCCACTGTTTCTCTATTTGGTTGCGCCCCAAAAAAATGGTAAGTAGTAAAATAATTCAGAACAGTTTTTACTAAACTGAAAATAAATTGAACTAATTCATTGCAAACATTCATTTATCTTGTGAAAATCGTTCTCTTCTTAGCGATTGCATTGTAAATTTCAAAATCATTAAGTTCACTAATCATTCATGGTTATTAAGCCCAATATTAATTATAATATTAAACTATTAAATAAATTTTGAAACCAAAAGGTGTTGTTTTGCATTTTTGTAGAAGCAAAAATTGAACCAACGACAAGTACCGTTGTAAAGCAAACTGATGAAGACAAGGAAAAAAATAAATTAGAGAAAAAACTCCATCTCCTTCATACTTCTAAACAATCTGAAGAGAACAAAATAGAACATAAACCTCAAGAAAATAAACAACCTCCTGATATTAAAGGAAACAACAAGCCCAAAGAATCTGTTGCATTACCATCATGTTCTAACATTCCTCTTCCAAAAACTAAGCCGGATGTGCTAGACAACAAGACCGCGATTATGGTATCAAAAGATGTCAAAAATATACCAAGGAAAAATAATACAGATGAAAAAAACGCAATAGCTACAGAATCTGAACAAGTTGAACGTTCGAGGGAAAATATTGATGATTACGACACAAAAACACTTAAACCACACAATGACGAATTTTGGGAATGCATAATGTGCACTCTTCTAAATTCAAAAGATAGCAATATTTGTGCGGTTTGTGCTACTATCCGAAGAATGACACCCTCTCCCACGGCGGCGTTAAGTCAACCTCAAAAAGTAGCAAGGAATCGCAGTAAATATAAGGCTCCCCAACCACAAGCTAATACTAAGGCAAAAGAACATTACATGCAATTGGTTAATTTAGATAATGCGGATTTGGTGGAAAATGTGAAACCTTTCGAGTGTTTGATTTGTTTTTTAGAAATTGGACCGGGTCAGGGTGTGACTTTACGAGAGTGTTTACATCAGTTTTGTAAGCCTTGTTTAGCACACACGATACAGTTCAGTGAGGAAGCACAAGTAAAGTGTCCTTATAGGGATGAACAGTATTCCTGTGAAATTGCTTTGCAGGATCGAGAAATTAAAGCTTTGGTATCGAAAGAGATTTATGACCAATATCTCGGAAAATCCGTCGCGCAAGCAGAAAATAAAATAGATAAATCTTTCCATTGTAAAACCCCCGACTGTAGAGGCTGGTGCATTTACGAAGACAATGTGAATGAATTTAAATGCCCAGTATGTAGAAGAGTGAACTGCTTGACATGTCAGGTATGGTGATTGCTTTTTTTTGATAATTTTCCCGTAAAAGCATGGGCTCCTACTTATATGTATATGTGTCTAAATTGAAAATATTATATATAAAAGACATTACGAGTGCTGTCGGCACAGGGCAAAGTAGTATTACGTAGTTAATATCAGCAATTTCTTATGCTGAAATGTACGATGTGTTGCATACCTATTTACAAACGATCCCTTTAAATTTAATTTTTCAAACAATTTTTAACACAAAGAACAAATTAAATTGTTCACAAAAATGAAATTCGACCACTCGAACATTTTGATTAATTTGATTAATTTTGCTAACATTTTCGAGCTTAGAGTGACTGATAGTGGGGAACAACTTGTATCATTAAAATGGTTTGTAATTAATGAGTATAAAAGCAGTAGGTACTGAAAAATCAAAAAGAGAACTATCAGTCAAAGTTTGAATTATTTTTCGGTATCACTGTGGGATAAAGAGCACAAGAGTAATTAATATTTTGAGCATTATATGATGATTTGATTTTTTCATTGACAATAATATTTTGTATGTGTAGGCTATCCACACAGGTTTAAATTGCAAACAATATCAAGAGCGAATGGAACAAGAATCAAGTACTGACGAAAACGCGAAACGTACAAGACAAATGCTGGATGAAATGGTAAATAAAGGAGAAGCATTAACTTGTCCAACTTGTCAAGTTATATTAATGAAAAAATGGGGCTGTGATTGGTTGCGATGTTCCATGTGCAAAACTGAAATATGCTGGGTGACCAGGGGCCCTCGATGGGGCCCAAATGGGAAAGGGGACACTTCAGGGGGTTGTCAGTGTGGAGTAAATGGAATTAAGTGCCATCCTCAATGTAATTACTGCCATTAGTGAGATAACAGACTGATGTTAGTGAGAAAACAGTAGCTTTAGATATTTTTAATTTCACCTTTTTTCATTAGTCAAAATTTTTGTCTTATTCACCTAGTTTTAGAAATTTAATGCATTCAAATTATTATTTAAAGGATGAAAAATACGTGTAAAAAGTTACTTAATTTAAAAATTTGAAGCTACTGTTATATTTCTTAATTGTATAATAGAGAAAGTTTCATTTAGTTATCGTCTTTCACCATATTTGCGTTGCTTTTCTCCAATATTAAATTAATAATCTTTCAGTGATAAGTATAAAATGTGTTCCAATTGGGAGTTTATAGACAAATTTTAATGATAATTGAAGTACTCAGCGTTTTGTTTAAATATTTGTAATAATAATAATCTATTTTATCGTACATATAGTTAGTTACCTCTTACATTGTAATAAGTTTCTAACCCCCTTAGAAAGCATTTGTATGTGATGAAAAATAAAAAATTATGGCATATTATTTTTTCGATAATTTTAAATATAACGCTAATCGTAAACGTAAGAAAAAATAAAACATAACTTACATAGGCATATCAAATGTGCTGACAAACTTCGATTTCAAGGCTCTCGTTTCCAAACACCCTGTAACAGTAATTCAACATCAGGAATACAAGTATGTTGTAATAGATTTGATAGAATGTGATGTCACATTCATTGTACAACACTTTATTAAAAAATTAAGTAACAGAAACATTAATGGGGTTACTGTACAGTAAAACATAATATTTTCTCTTGGGAATCATCCCTGCGAGGGTTGAAACAATGCTGTGAAGACAATAAAATTTTAATGAAACAAAGTCAGTTTTGTGACTGAATTTTTTACATTAATACAAATATCAATTGAGTTTGTTTAAATTAAACCCTAATAATTCTAACTTTTGTTTTTAATGTATTCAAAAGGTTTTTACTATAATTGAAATCGAATAGTGTTTATATTCCTAATAAAAACGGAATAAAAAAGGATATAAAGTTGTACAAAACTATTAATTAAAATATGTTGGTGGATAACAAAAAGTAAAATCCTTTTAAGAGATCAACTTTAATTTATGTTTTCCTGTTACAAATGACGTACACTTTAGTTATGATAATGGATAGAGTAAAACAAGAAACGTTAAAAAAACATATTTTGAATGATTATGCATGATATGATATTCTAATGAAAATACGGCTTTTATTTATTACTTACAATTTTAAAGAAAATATGCCTTATCCAACTAACCTCAGCTTACACCAACTAACACACTTGTTAAAAGATTTAACACCTTGTTTGCTTAACTTTTTTAAATTACCGCATGTTATAGTGGCGCTTCAAATCTTCAAGTAAAATCTATTGAATACTATGATAATTACAAATTTTACACAAAATAAATACTACAAGCAAATTTTACAATATAATAAAACTTCGTAATAACTGCCCTGACTTTTTATAATGAAGGAAATTAGTAAAATAGTCAACCGGTAACTCCAACTTTATCTGTGATTATTCCTATGATATTTTTATATTTCTATGACTTAGCTTATACGCCATAGATACGCTATAGATCTTTTGTCTATGGCCATAAATTGCGACTATGGTTATGACGTAGAAATCTATGGACGTAAATTAATTTGAGGTTAAGCCGGTGTTTTCGTTTGGAGTGCGTTTTTTTAGAAAATTGTATTTGCAAAAGTCTCAATAAATTACTCAAAATGGTAAGGAGATATTTTTTTGTTATAATATACTTAGTCTTTTTTCCGTAGACGATTGGTAAAAATAATAAAATGGCTCAACATATAAACTACAGAGTTCGTATTACTCTGCAAGATTCCCGTACATTTATAGGCACATTTAAAGCTTTTGATAAACATATGAATATGATATTGGGTGACTGTGAAGAATTTCGTAAAATCAAACCTAAAAATTCTAAAGTTGAACGTGAAGAGAAGAGAGTTTTGGGATTTGTTCTTTTAAGAGGAGAAAGTATAGTATCATTAACTGTTGAGGGACCTCCACCACCAGAAGAAGGTTTGCCTAGAGTGCCCATTCCTGGTGCAGCTCCAGGTCCTGGAATAGGACGTGCTGCAGGACGTGGTATGCCAGCTGGTGTTGGAGGTGTGCCTGTTGGTCTTCAGGGACCAGTAAGAGGTGTAGGAGGTAAGATTACTGGTAATGAGAACTAAATTTTGTCAAATTAAAGTAACTTGTTGATGGTTGGCAAGCGTAAAATTGAATAGGTAATTTTTTATAAATTGTAATTTCTTTGATAGGTCCATCACAGCAAGTAATGACTCCTGCTGGAAGAGGTCAAGTTGGAGGACCTGGAATGCCTCCTGGTGGACCACCAAGAATGGGAGGACCTCCACCAGGCATGATGGGTCCACCCCCTGGTGTAATGGGTGTTCCTCCAGCTATGGGTATGGGACGTGGAGGTCCCCCACCACCTATGGGCATGAGGGGTCCACCACCAGGCATGATGCGAGGAGGGCCACCAGGGCCGCCGAGACCTTACTAATTTTTCAAAAATTGTAGAATCCTTTATGAATGTAATTGCATTATTATTATTTGAATGCTGTTTTGTATTTTCTTTTTTTAAGATTAGAAGTCAGAAATTCATTTTTTTCCGTAAAACCTTAGTTTAAGTAATTATTAAGTGTAATGAGAGTGTAAACAATTCAGAAATATTTCCTGAATAAAAATAATTTTGTAATTACTCATTGATGCATTTTGATTTAATAGGGAAAATGAAGAAAGTTGAACTATAAATTCAATTCATCTAAACTAAACATAAAGTTAGGGTTTTTTTAATGAAAGGGAACAAGTTTCATTTGTCTATTAAGTCTTATTATTCTGTAAAAATAAAATTTTAATGATTTTATAATGGCGCTTTAGACACTTCAGGAATTTTCAATCACTGGATGCTACACAAAGTTCTTATTTCAAAGAAATTTTTACAGATAAAATAATTAAAAAAAGATGTAATTGAGACTAATAGTAAATAGGAAAAAGAAAAGTATACATTTAAAAACTAATTATTCATTATTTGGTATCTGTTAACAAGAATATTACCAAGTATGTTTAAAAAATATATTAGCAACGAATACCAATATATACCTATACGGGATCATGACGCTCGAATTAGAAGTTGCATAATGTATCTTAATTAATGAATTGAAGT